AAAAAAAAAAAAAAAAAAAATATGATCCTCGCAAACTATCAATAGAGCCTAGAATTATGACCTTTTTATCAGAAGACAACATTTTATTACAGAGCAGTAGCTAGCAGAATCATCAAGCAGACATCTCATGACATAACAACACATGTTTAGCAAGTAGATGGGCAACCCTATAAGAATAATGAGTTCATCAGATCACTTCAATTTGAGATTTCAAAATTTATTAACCAAAACCCCTTACTACTAGATATTCAAAGAGAAGTAAGAAAGCTACCCCATATGCATTCCATAAATATCAGAATCAACACTTCTGTGACAAAAAGAAAAAAGATAAGACTTCAATTATCTTCAATCCATTCCTATGACAAATCTGAGAAAATGCAACTTGCCTCATCAACAAACAGCAGACAAATTTCACACTAGCACAAAAAAAATCCCTCAATTTTGGCATAAACCCTTAAACCCCAACTGGGTACTAACTCAACCACCAAATTCTTCTTTAAAAAGAAAAACACTAATTCATAAATGAACAAATTACCTTGAGAAGCTCGTTGGATTCAAGATTCTCTACAAAAGAAGCTGCAAGACTGGCTGTAACACCGGACTTTCCCACCAACTGGGACTTGAGCTTCTTCCCCAAGCTGTGAGCATAGGACGCAAGTTCCTTCTTTTCTTTCACCGTAAGGCTTGGTGGCTTGACCCCATCTCTCTTCAAACCCGAAGAAGACTCCAAACCCACTTGGGCATTTTCCTTATTATCCAAGTTCTCAATTTCAATCTCGGGTTCCTCACCATTATCGTTATCATCATCTTCTGGAATTTCAAGTTGTTGGGTTTCTTCTGCTTCTTGTACAGAGGCTTTGGGGGCAGGAGGAGAGTGGGAGAGAGTGGAAGAGTGGCAGAAGAGGAGAGGACGAGAAGGGAGGGAAGGAGAGATAATTCTACGGCGTGGGATGAATGGAGTCGTGGAGACGGTGGTGGTGGAGATGAGAAGGGGTTTGAGGAAAAGGGAGAAGGAAGAAGATGGCGGTGATGGGCGGTGGAGGAGGGAGTGGAGCCGGTGACAGGTTGGGGCTCCTACTGCTGATGCTGCCGCCATTTGCTCTAGTTTTTTTAGCTTACCCAACAACACTTACCTTCGTAATGTTTATTTAGGCCAAATTTCACTATCGGTAGTTTTTCACTTTCATCATTGTAGAATTTCTACTTTCAGTTTCTCAGCTTCACTTCATTTGCAACGTATTCCAAGTCAGTAAATTCGAAGACCAAGTTATAGAAAAGTTTGGGTTTTTTCATGTCATATATATATATGTCTTTGTTTTAAGAGTTCAATTGAATCCAAATTCAATTTTTGAACATGTTATACTCAAAAGCATTAATCCTTCTAAGTTTTTTCTTATACACTATTTTTCTTCATAAAACCTTTGGAGGACATATTTTGGGACATAAATGTTTCAATCAACTAAAATTAGGTTACTAATACATGTATTGTCTAAAGAAATATCACATTCAGGATATCGCAGTGGAGTTATCAGCAGCACAGCTAAATCTATGAAAGAAACAAATACTTATGCATATGGGCTAGCGCAATGCTGGAATTCTATGAAAAAAGCCAACCACTACACACTATGCATAAAATGTATCATTGAAGCAGGCCAAGAGCTTCAAAAGCAATGTCAGTTCACTCAAGGAGCTATATTTTACGACGCATATTGTCTCTTAAAATACTCAGATGCAAATTTTCTTAATGTAATTGACACATATAATGCATTTTATGAGATAAATACCAAAATCGTTGGTGATCCCTTATTTATGTATTTTATGCATGGGAAAGTTCACGAATTGTTAGCCCATATATGCTCTAAAATAGTTGGCCAAACATTGTATGCTCGCGGGAAGCTACAAATATTAAAAGCTATTTCACTTTATGGTGCGACTAAATGTATTGAGGATCTTTCTAGCGAAAATTGTAAAAAGTGCCTTGAAATTGCAACTAGAGAACTTCTTGTTTGTACTTATGGAATGAGAGGTAGTTGTGCTTTTCATGGCAGTTGTCATATTAGATTTGAAAATTACCGTTTTTACTAGGTAGAGTTTGTTTCACGAAATGGATTCGTTGAGAATGTCAATACTAACCTCATTCTCATTTGAAGCTTACAGTGGCAGAAAGTCAGGGATAGCTCATTTGAAAGTCTTTGGCTCACTTTGCTATGCACACATCCCCTCTAATCTCAGGCACAAGTTGGAAGAAAACAGTCATAAGTGCATCTTTGTAGGTTATGGTGCAAGTGAGAAAGGGTACAGGCTGTATGATCCAATTTCAAGGAAGATTATTCTATCAAGAGATGTTACATTTGATGAAAATTTGGATTTTATTTTTATTTTTTTATAGCTAATATTACTAAATTGCCCAAATTACATTAGCAAGTTAATAGTTTTGTGGACGAAGTTCACAAAAAATGATAAAGTGAGGCACAAAGGAAGGTTCCATAAAATTAAGATATGGGGAAAATGCCTCACATGTTTGGAGATACTAGTAATTGTAATAAGAGAATGATTTTTCTTCATATTCCATCATGTTTCCCTCTTTTCGGTCGAGGTGGCCGAAGGAAGGAACTTTTGGTCATTTTTCTCTTGGATTGCGTAGGCGTGCCACCACCAAGCCACTGACTAGCTTAAATGGAAAAAGTTGGATTGTTATGTTCGCACTTCTGACTTCTAACCAGCTGATTGATCGGCCAAGCAAGGAACCTCCTCTTGGCCTAAGTTCTTTCACTTCCTCGGGGTCGAGGATGGTTAGGTTTCGTATGGGTATTTTAGTATTTTTTGAGATTTTAATGATAATGATGCAAATTAAATTAAAAGATGTGATTGAACTTAAAAACAAGAATTAAAATGCGATAAAGTAAATCAAAGCAATAGATAAACATAAATTAAACGAAGAACGAAATAAGAACGATATAAACGATAAAGGCAATAAAATAAAGCAATCTGAAATTAAATTAAACTTAAAGAGAATTCGATAACAATTAAAAATAAAGCGATAAACTTGAATCTTAAAACAACATAAAGGAAAATGCAAGAAATTGAACTTAAATTAACGAAAGTGAAGAACTGATCTAGTCTACTTGCTTGGAAAATAAAAACCTAGTCTAGGGATAGAAAATTGAAAGACAAGAAGTAGGTTTTTGTGTTTGATGTCGAGTCTTTTGCTCTTTGTCTGATGTAGTTTATATAGGGGCATTCGTCAGCCCATGGGCTGGCCATTAAATGGCCAAAGGTCAACTTTGTTCAAAATCTTTCCTTGTGTGGCTTCCTAAATTCGGGGAATTGATTCGAATGAGATCATCATATTGCAAATCTGATCACTTGATTCTCTCCTTCTTAGGAATGTTCCAGATTGACATCACTCTCTTTGATTGCTTTCCTTGGATGGATCTCGTCACGTGCATGAAAACATCCGGAGGTTTTGGGCCTACTTCCGCGAGTTGGGCTTGGACCTCCGAGGACTTAGGGCCAGTTTGGCATTGCTGTGCTGTGAAAATAATCGCTGTTAGATTTGCTGTGAGAGAAATTAGCTGTAAGAGAAAGCAGTTTGGCGTTTGGTAAATTTTTTGTTAAAAGTGTTGTTGATATTGATTTCAACAAAATCAGAAAATAATTGTTGCATAATCATTAAACCCAACGCCTCTTCGAAACTGATTTCTGCATAATTAGAAAATGACAGCACCTCATTAGCTGCTTTCCCTTATAGCTTTCTCTCACAGCAATTTTTAACAATAAGTGATTTTTTCACAGTTTACCAAACGGGTTGGGCTTCTCAAAATTTTTTTAAAATCACTTATCACCCCAAATAAGCAATGCCAAACGGGCACTTAGGCTTAACATCTAATGAGATGATGTGGCTTCCGGAGTCTCTAATTTTGATTAAACATAATCCACCGATGTCGGGTGACTTGAATTCCAATGAGTCCATCCAAGAAACTTGGCCAAGGTTTACATGACTTCTTAGTTTTCAATACTAATACACATATATATATTTAGATAGAGAAAGGGAGTTCGTAGGCCACTTAGTTGGCCTTTCATTCTTGTCTCCAACCTCCCAGGTCATAGGCCTTTAATTTATTATATTATTACATATATCTACAAAGTATAATATGCAACATATATATTGCTCATAGCCTTTCAACACCCATGCCAATTTGACCCAAGTTTGGGAATACCAAGGTAAACCTACGTGGGTTCTCTCATGCCAAAAACCCCTTTTATTCTCCAGCCAACTTAAAAGGTCATCTTTGGCCATTTGTTGGTACTAATATATATATATATATTGGCATTCATCAATTTTAACCCAAGTCTGAAGGCCAAAACCGCATGCATCCTTGGGCCACCAAAGTCTCTTTTATTTGTTCACAAAACCATTTGCTTGAAGAGAGGGCCCCACCTTTTATTATTAGGTGCTTAAAACCCTCAACTTCTAAGAGAAGTTACAGCTGTCTAACTTCTCCAAGCCAATACCCAGCAACAATTGCATATGGGTTTTGTGCTGTGGTGAGGACAAACGAGACTCACTTTCCTCATTGGGTTCGATAAACCCCAACTGTCTCATCTTGCTTGTGGAGCTTTGTCACTTAGCTATTTTACTTTGAAGCTCATAAAGCAGAGCTGAAAACCCCACTTTGTTGTAACCACACAAAGCCTCAAACTCCAATCGCATCGTTCTCAAGTCAAACCCGGCAACCCAGATTCCATGAAGAAAAGTGAGTTGGCTTTCCTTCTTTAATCTCCAAGTTAACAATAGCATCCCATTTTTATTATCTATATATATATATATATATATATATATTAAAATCCGGTTGTTGGGCTTTAAGAATACGATTAAAGAAGTTGTGACATAGATGGTCCATCTTTTGTCGTAAACCTAGTTGGTTACTTCCAATTACGTAAATCAATAGTTCAAACCGCACTCAAAGGTAGGGCATTTCCCATTTTTATAGGAACTTATGTACCAGAAACAATGGTATCTCCAATTATAGCCCCTCTGGGATGTAAAATATATCTTTTCTCACCATCCCCATAGTGTATGAGAGAGT